AGGGCTGCCAATCGCTGCAGGCAAGGAGAGGAAATACCGGCGCAATGTTTTAACACCAGCAGTTTGGCACTTTGCCTTGCTGCGCATGTGACATTTCTGCGCCCGTTGCACTGGAGATGGGGACCAGGCGCGGGGAGTGCGCATTTGGTTGTGAGGTGGTACCATGAGGTCCGTACATCCCATGGGGCCTTGTGTCCACTCACCCTGGGGAACGAACCCAGCTGCACATGTCACTTGATTCGGCAGGGTTGGCTGTGGTTGCCTGGCTAGGGGACCTGTACGAACGGTGAAGGCTCAGGGGCCCAGCCACCCTACGCACCACGCCGTCTCGGGTGAGCAGGTCAAGGGCGACGAGGTATTCTCCCTGTTGCTTGTCTGCGTCTTGGAAAAAATCGTCTTAGTAGTGCCTCCAGTGCCGCCTGCCCCCTCCTCCTCTCTGCCTTCAAGACGTCCAAGACGGCCTCCGGACAGCACAAGAGGCCCCAAGGACACCCCAAGAGAGCTCCGAGACACCCCCCAGGAAGGCCCCAAGAGGGAAATCGCCCAAATAGGCCCCCAAGAGGGCTCCCATATACGGCCCCCGAAAGCCGCAATATGGGCCCCCTGGCTCCCCCCCCCGTCGAAATGTCCAAATGATTCCACCTTCTACATGGCGCACGACCGGCCGGCCGAGGCGGGGGCGCCGATGTCCATCAGCTGCTGCACCACCCCCTGGTCGTATATCTCCTCCCGAGGGGGGGGAAGGGGCCTCCGCCCCCCTCCTCCCTCCTCCGTCCTCTCCGTCCTGTGCCTCCTCCCTCCTCCCTCCTTTTTGGGGGGGGCCAAACCACGGGGGCGACGCTCCCGAGCCTCCTCCGTCCTCCTCCGTCCTCCTCCTCTTCCTCCTCCTCCTCCTTTTCCTCTTCCTCCTCTTCCTCATCCTGCTCCTCCCCCTCATCCTCCTCGTTCTCCTCCTTTTGCTGCGAATTCCCGCGGAGGATTCGCACGGGAACGACTCAATGACAATTTGTTCTAACAGCAGAACAGCGCAAATGTATCACTGTCAGACAGTTGGGCCAAATGCAAGTGGCAACGCTATCACCTCACCCAGTCACACTGCCATGTTCTCACACCGCCCCCATCGGCAAGAATGGCCGACAAGAGCGACGGGTGAAGAACGCTAATACAGCGAATGGAACGAAGCCTCCAACCCAGCTGGAAGACATGGAATCGAAGATACCTGCGCCGGCTATCGCACCATGGGACACGCAGTACGCGCGATGCTCAATTTCATCATCTGCGCAAGAAACGTTCGCCATGGTGTTCTGGTGCACCGGCTCGGATAACTAGTGCATCTGGCGGGCTAGCTCCACGGTCGCTGACATGTCACCAGCAAGCCTGCGGTATCTAACCTTGCGCGCCTCCCCATCCGCAGTTTTGAGCCGTTTGACGCTTCGACATGCGCATCGAGGGCATCCGCCTGCGTCTCTCACTGTTCTCGCTGCCCCCTGGCCCGCTGAAGGTAACCTGTGACCGTCAGGTTGGCGCAGTTGCACAGGTCGGTAACAGCCCTGAGGATCGTCGTCTAGTAGTCCAGCCTCTGTAATACCTGGTTCAACAAAGCACCCCCCTTGACATGGCCTTGCACCGGTATTTTCTCGCCAGAAATCGTTACCATAACCTCAAACGGTTCCGACGCCCGGCTGGTCGGCTGAGCCGCCGCTGCCGCTTGCCATGGGGTCGCAACGACGTGGCTGCCTCTGGTGAATCGGATGAGGGAAAGATGTCGGTGTCGAGCACGATTAGCCTTTGGGCCGCAAGCGGCTGCAGCGTGTGTGAGCGTTCTGTTGCGGGCGCTAGCCGATGTCTCACTAGTGGTAAAGTTTGATGGGTGGCACGCACATGTTTTACAAGCGTGTCACTGCTGACACATGTAGTTAAAGCGTCGGCAATATTGTCATCAACACCTAGTTTTTTCCACTCGGAATAGTTTTTTCCTGACATTATCCTGCACACGCAATGTACAGACTTGTGTGTTTAGCTTGGACTGAGCAACTTCTGCTAGCAATTGAAATGGCCGTCGTGGCGTCACTCTTTATCACAATCTGCGTGGGGACGTCGAAGTCCCTGAAAACCGCTCGTAGTCCTAGCCCTACTGAACCTCCGTGAACCATCCCATCATAGCCAACTTCTCCCGAGGATAATGCAGTAACACTCCGCGTGGTGCTCCGCGATTTTATGTCGTGTTACCCCCGCAAAACGCCTCCCCCACTCGTGGACTTTCAACTGTTCTCGTTCCCAGCATAGTCCGTGCCGGCCCACGCTGCCAACTCCTGCGGTAAAACCTGGTACATATACGAATAACTGCATCGGTTTGATCTTCCTGAGAAACATTAGTTGTCAAAGCTCCCGAGGATTTTCCAAGTACCAACAATAGGTTTGGCCACGTGTCTGGCTAGCTCTTCTACGGCATACTGGATGTCTGATCGGTCTGGCGCTAGGTAGTTGGCCCGCGCGACGAGAACTTGGCATTTTAGAATGTCTTGCCGAGATAACTTCTCTTCATCTACCTCGTTGACAGGCTGCCTGTCTCCAGGCATACTGGATTGAACTTTGATTCTCTCCAAATCGAATGCTTTATCGAATATCTCCCCATGTTGTTGATCCGCTTCATACCATACTCCGTCGCGGGTCCACTTGATTACTCTGTTGAATACCCGAATTGATTTGCCTGGATCTCTTTTCACTTGGGGGTCTAACCTTCTCCTGGTTTAACTGTACATTCCTTTCTGACTTCCACCTCAAACCAGTCCACATCGCGATCGCTACCATCGGCGCGAACCAGTGCTGACCCACGTACTCAAGATGAGGGGGAGGGGGGCGGGGGAAGAGGATGAGAGAGAGGGTGGGAAAGGAGGGGAGGAGGCGGGGCTTTTCGCGAGAGCGCTACATAGGGAGTAAGGCTTTGGAGGGGGGGGGAGGGGGGTGCTCGAACTGGAGGAGGGCCAATTGAGGCAACGGCGGCCCTCCCGCCCGACTCAGATCTTCCCCCGCTGCGACGAACAACGGAGCGACTTTGATAACTTTAGGCCTCCGTACCCCCCATCGAGCCACAGGACCGTCAAACATTCCTTGGGAACGATAGCTGATCCAGAGAAAAATGTCAAGGGACCACGAGGGGGCCCAAGTGAGAGCAAGGCAGGACGTCGAAGATATGATGGGAGTAGGGCGAACTGGTGGAGGAATGCCTGGGCCGAAAGATGAGGCCGAAGAAGGGCCTAAAGAGGGGGCGCGCCTGTCAAAAGTGGAGCTCCAATCACCTCTACGGTGGGCGACGCGGAGGAAGAGAAGGAGAACGGAGGCCGGCGAGGGAGAGAAGAAGTAGCCCAAGGCGAATCTAGCGAGAGAGATCCAAAAATCCCCTCAACACCATCATCATTAGTACCGTCATCGACATTGTCGTCGCCGCAGTCATCCTCACAGGCATCATCATCATCATCATCATCATCATCATCATCATCATCATCATCATCATCATCATCATCATCATAAGCAGCATCATCATCGACATCATCATTATCATCATCATTATCGCCAGCATCATCACCACCACGAACGGCATCGTCATCACCATCATCATCATCATCATCATCATCAGCGTCGTCAGCATCATAATCATAATCATCATCATCATCAGCATCATCATCATCATCAGAATCATCATCATCATCATCATCATCATCATCGCCATCAGCATCGTCATCGTCATCGTCATAACCATCCATGTCATAATCATCACCACCACCATCATTGACAGCATCACCCTCCCCAGTATCACCATCCTGATCCTCATCATCGTCGTTACCACAATCGTTACCACAATCATCACCGCCATCATCACCATCATTACCATCATCACTCTCATCACCATTATCAATATCACCGTCATAGTCGTCATTAGTATCATAATCATCGTCATCATCTCAGAATCATCAGCATCATCATAATCATCATACCCATCATCAGCATCATCATCGTCGTCATCATCAATATCGTTACCACTACACTCATCTCCATCACCATCGTCAATATAATCACAATCATTAACATCATCGACATCGCCGTCACCACTCAACAACATCATTACCTCCATCATCAACATCGCCATCAACATCCACATTGTCATAATACTCACAATAATGCTCACCATCATCATTGCCGATATCGTCAGCACCGTCAACATCACCAGACCGGATCACTCATCGTCACCTTCACCATCAATAATTAGCATAAACATCAGCATCACCATCATCAGGATCGTCATCATCATCACCATCAACATCATCATCATCAGCATCAACATCATCAACACCATCATCATCATCATCATCATCATCATCATCATCATCATCATCATCATCGTCATCAACACCATCATCATCATCATCATCATCATCATCATCATCATCATCATCATCGTCATCATCATCACCATCTCATCATCATCGTCGTCATCATCCTCGTCATAATCATCAGTATCCTCATGGTCATTATGCTTCGTGTGGGCCTCGTCCTCCGCCCCCTCTTAATGGATGACCCCTCAAGTGCCTCCTTCGCGCAGCGGAAGCATCATGTGCGAGAGTGAAGGGAGGGGGGAGGGAAGGAGACACACATGGGTCTACGGTAGCCCCGGCACGCCCCCCCCCCCCGACGTCGCCCCGTGTCCGTGGCACGGGCCCCTCGGCATCTCGGCCGCTTCCCCAGGGGCAGGTCTCCATTCTGCATGCTTTGTTGACGGGGCCGGGCCCAGGAAACGGCCCTCGGAAGAGGCCGAAAGCGTCTAAATCACTTGCAGTCGCGGTATGATGCGTTGCGTCGCCTGGATCTGACGGGAGGTGGACAGAACACGGCACGACGTCCGAGAAGCTCTTTCCCGGGCCCGGGCTCTCGGGCCCGAAGGAGGTCCGAGCTCGAGCCCGGAGGAGGTCCTCGAGACTGGCCTCGG